TGGGGTGGAGGATGGATGGAAGGGGGGGTGGGTGGGCAGATGAATGGGTCGATGGATGGATGGATGGATAGAGAGATAAGATAAATGAGTGGATGATGTATAAGTGGATAAATGGGTGGGCAGATGGATGGATAAATGAGTGGACAGATAAGTAGATGTGTGGATGGATGATGGATGGATGGATGGTGGATGGATAATGGATGAATGGGTGGATAGTGGATGGATGGATAAGTGGGTAGATGGATGAACAGATAAGACAGTGGATAGACGCATGCATGGAAGGGTACTTGGGTGGATGGATAGATAACTGGAAAGGTAGGTAGGTAGGTGGGTAGATGAACAGAGAGACAGACAGATGAATGCAGACAGGTAGTCACTCATAAACCCACACACATCCGCAGGCATTTTTCTCATAGGAAAAGATTAACAGAGTCTGTATATCTGGGTCAGAGTGTAAGAAATGTCGACACCGTGTGGAAGATGCCAAACCTGTGAAGCGTTAGACAGAGGGAGATGTCGAAGTCTCGAGAGAAGCCAGAATTGGACCAGCTAAGGTTCAGAAACAAGCGTCAATTTGCTGGTCCCAGGTCTCAGAGCGCCGGCGTCTTGCGTGGTCCTGGATACCTCTGTGTCAGCAGTAATTAGTCACATTAGCGTGAGGCCACAGTGGAGTCTGGTGGGCTCTAAGCTAACACGTAGGGTGTCCTTGTAGGAAGAAGAAAGGAAGACAGACACCCACAGAGGGAAGACAGGCACGTGGAGATGGAGGCAGAGGTTGGAGCGATGCGTCTACAAACCAAGGAATGCCAAGGATTGCTCCCAGGCCACCGGAAGCTGGAGAAAGGCCTGGAACAGCTCGTTCCTTAAAACCCTCGGAAGGAACCAACAGTGCTCACACCCGACATCACACTTCTGGCCTCTGGAACTGTCAGAGGATGGATCCCCGCTGTGTGAACCTGCTTATTTAGTGACACTGAGTCACAGCATCCCCAGGAAACTCACACCGTGACGATGAGAAAACCAGTGGTTATTTAAGCATAGAGAGTTGTTTTCTGCATGGGGGAAGACTATGTAATTCTCTGTGGTTAATGAGGGCTTAGCATATGCGCGCTTATTCCAGATGTTAGTTATATACTGCGGTGTAACCAATGACTACACACGGAGTGGCTGCAAGAGACACATATTTGACAGGCTAATTGGGTCCCCAGGCTCACATCAGGGTGTCAGGCAGGGCTGGGGCCTCATTCGAGGCCTGGAGCTCTCTTCCAAGATCCCTGGGTGTTGGAAGAATTCAGTTTCTTGTGTGTTAGTATTGGCGCCCTCCTCTCTCAGAAGTCAGCCGCTAACTCTTGCCAAGTGAGCTTCTCGGTGAGGCCGTTTGCTTTCTCCGGGAGGCCTGGCTGTGTCTCTGCTGCGTCTAATCTCCCCAACCTCTTCACGCTGTCTCCCACACCTGATCAGGCCAGGCCCACCCAGAACCATCTCTCTTTTGATGAGCTTGAATCAACCGATTAGGGATTTTAATTACAACCACAAAATTCCTTGACTTGTGACATATAATCCTGAGAGTGACACGCCACCATATTCCCAGTTCCTGTGTACCGTCAATGGGAGTGATTCACACAGCCACGCGCATGCAGAGCGCCCCACGACCGAGGATTTCGGCGGCAGGTAATCCGGAACTTCCTGTTTCTCAGATGCCTCCGGAGGACCCATATCTTGCTCAAACGTTTCATGGGATTTTCCTCACACGTTTCCCAAAGTGTTATATCATCTTCGGGCGTGCTGGGGCCAGAGGAGTGAACATCTCATTCATTCGTGGGCTTTGCAAATGCTCTGCCGAAGAGCATGGCGTAAACTCAGCTTCGGAATTTGATAGTTCTGCAGGGAAACAGACACGCCATCGACGTGCGAGCAGGATCGGAGAAGAAGGTTTCAAGGAGAATATCCAACATCTCCGTGTCCCCAAGAAAACGAGGTCACTGAAGACAGCCAAGACACCGTCCCCACTGGGAAGCTTGCCTGGGTTCAAAGGCTGGGCCCTCATCCTGGGGGACCTTGCACCCTCTGCTTCTTCCTTGTCAGGTGGAGGGCACGGTCATGCATGCCTCTAAGGACAGTGCATGAACAGGACATGACTCACACCTAGCGGACATCCAGAAATCACCCAGGAACCCCTTTGTGTTAAACTTCACTTGACACCTGGGTCCCTCCACTTATCCTCGCCCTCTATCGCTAATGGGTTGGCACCCCATGTTGGATGACCAAGGGCCCCTACTCTGGTGTTCTGAACCTAGGTTTTCAGCTTGAGGACTTGTGGCGTAGTTGGGGCATTAGAAGCCCTTGCCTTGTACAGCGTTTGGCATAATGTGGAAGCTTAATAAATTATAACCTGCTAATTTATAATGACATAATCATGAGTGTGTGATTATATAAAAATATGTTTAATACATAAATTATATTTAAATATTACATGTAAAATACACTTATACTTAAACTTAACGTTAAGACAAATATAAAGTATGAAAATATAAAACATTTAAAATATCATATATTTATGTTACGTATTGATACGTAATCACATATGAACATAATGTAACAAGTGTTATCTAGACAAACAATACATGTAAAAAATAAACAATAATTAATAAATGGTTGGTTGGGTAAATATATAACATAATTAAATTACATAGTAATATTGTCTATGATTTGTAATTAGTCAACATATACAATAAACAAATAATAAATGCTCGATTAGATAATAAATAATTGACAACTTATATTACTATATTACACATGATTATTATAATAATTCAGTTGCAAACAGCAGGCCCCGCTCCTGTCCAGCTTCAGGTGGACTAGCGCTCGCTCTGGCGCCAGGTGCGGCCCCGGCCTGAACCTGGGCACAGTAGCGGCAT